ATTAGCCGGGCATGGTGGCGGGCGCCTGTAGTCCCAGCTACTTGGGAGGCTGAGGCAGGAGAATGGCGTGAACCCGGGAGGCAGAGCTTGCTGTGAGTCGAGATCGCACCACTGCTCTCCAGCCTATTTTTTTTTTGAGACTCCGTCTCAAAAAAAAATAAAATAGAAAAAAAATTTAAAAATAAAATATATATGTGTATATTATATGTGTATATTTATGAGAGAGGATGGGTAAATCTTTTGTCTTTTACTCTAAAATTAATGCTGACTTACTGTTCTTTATTAAAAATCTGAATCTTTATTCACAGTGGAAGAACTCAGAAGCAACTAGTAGATTATTTCAAAGACAGTGGAATGAAGAGAATTCCATATGAAAGGTAAGCTCTGGCCTTTACGATGTAAAGTGTGTGCCTTTAAAATTAATATTTAAATATATATATATGGAGAGAGAGCGAGAAGAGTGACTGAGTCTTTCTCTGTCACCTAAGCTGAAGTACAGTGGCACGATCACAGCTCACTGCAGCTTCAGACTCCTGGGCTCAAGCAATCCTCCTACCTCAGCCTCCCGAATAGCTGGGACTATAGGCACACACCACCATCCCCTGGCTAGTTTGTTTTTTTGTTTTTTTTTCTATAGAGACAGGGTCTTGCTATGTTGCCCAGGCTAGTGTCAAACATGTGGGCTCAAGTAATCCTTCAACTTCAGCCTCCCAAAGTGCTGGGATTATAGGTGTGAGCCACCATGCCCAGCCTATTTTAAATATTAATCTTTACTTGACTAAAAGTCACTTCAAATACATGAACGTGTATTTTTACAGGAGTTCAGTTTCAATGTTTTAAAGAAAGTGGATTTGTAATTTTTTTTCTTTTGAGACAGAGTCTCGCTCTGTCGCCCAGGCTGGAGTGCAGTGGTGCGATCTCAGCTCACTGCAAGTTCCGCCTCCCAGGTTCACGCCATTCTTCTGCCTCAGCCTCCCAAGTAGCTGGGACTACAGGCGCCCGTCACCACGCCTGGCAAATTTTTTGTACTTTTAGTAGAGATGGGTTTCACCTTGTTAGCCAGGATGGTCTCGATCTCCTGACCTCATGATCCACCCACCTTGGTCTCCCAAAGTGCTGGGATTACAGGCGTGAGCCACCGCGCCTGGCCTATAGTAAACTTTTAATCTGAAAATTCTTGTTGTTTCTCTGCATGTGGAATTTTTTCCTTTAGTGTGAGTGTGTAATCTTACCTCTCTTGGGACCTCTGTTTTTTATTTGAATTCTTGTTTTCCATTATCCTGCCCCTTTCTAGTTAGATACCTCTTAGCTACATTTTCGTGGGAGGTTTTCTTCATGGACACAGTACATGCTTGCTGCTTTAAAAACAGGCGCTGAGTAAGGGAGGGTTTGGTTTCTCACAGCTTGTTCTCTGTTTTGCAGAAGGCACAGCAAGACTCACATGTCCATTCGTGCTCTGACTGCAGACCTACCAAAACAGGTTAGTCTTTTCTGGTTAAAAATGTAGACAATAGTAGTTACCTGTACTCTTTTGGAAAATAATCTGTCATTATTATAACAAGAGTCTTAAAATTAATGATATTATTTAATTCAGCAATTCTAATTCTGGGACTCTGTTTTCAGAAAGGAGTCCTAAATAGAAAACCAGCAGGGCAGTGGCTCATGCCTACAATCCCAGCACCTTGGGAGGCCAAGGCAGGAGGATTGCTTAAGTCCAGGAATTCGAGACCAGCCTGGGCAACATGGCGAAATCTCGTCTCTACAAAAAATACAAAAATTAGCAGAGCACGATGGTGGCTCACGGGTAGTCTCAGCTACTCAGGGAACTGAGGTGGAAGAATGGCTTGAGCCCAGGAATTTGGGGCTACAGTGAGCCAAGATAGTGCCACTACAGTCCAGCCTGGATGACAGAGCAAGATCTCATCTCAAAAAAGAGAGAGAGAGAAAGCCTGTATGTTGAGATGTGCATTGCAATGTTGTGTATAATACACTACAAAATCCTGACAACTCTCATCTGTGCCAGATAACTTACTAACTACGTTTTTAGCTATATTCACTTAGTAGGATTTTTTTGTTAACCACTAAAAGCATGGCTTAAAAAAGAGTATGTGGTAACATGGGGAAGTTCTTGCTGTTATGTTACAAATGAAAAGCAGGAAACAAATTTATATCTCTATGTCTTTGTCATGATTGCAACTATATCAAAACAAAGATACACCAACTCACACAGACACTTCACACAAAAACATTTGACAAGAATGTCCCAGCATGTGACAACAGCTGTTCCGTGCCACTGTGATGGGACATCAGCGACCTTCTCATGTTTCAGGTCTACTTCACTACAATCCCTTCCCATTTTTATGGTGGCGTGTTAACTTCCACGTGCAAGCATATTTTTACGTTGCATCTTGCTTGTTTTGTTTTGTTTTCCCAGACAGAGTCTTACTCTCTTGCCCAGGCTGGAGTGCAGTGGCATGATCTAGGCTCACTGAAACCTCTGCCTCCTGGGTTCAAGTAATTCTCGTTCCTTAGCCCCTCAAGTAGCTGTGATTACAGGCATACACCACCATGTCTGGCTGACTTTTTTGTTTTTTGTTTTTTTTTTGAGATGGAGTCTTGCTCTGTCGCCCAGGCTGGAGTGCAGTGGTGCGATCTCGGCTCACTGCAAGCTCTGCTCCCCGGGTTCACACCATTCACCTGCCTCAGCCTCCCGAGTAGCTGGGACTACAGACGCCCGCCACCACGCCCGGCTAATTTTTTTGTATTTTTAGTAGAGACGGGGTTTCACTGTGTTAGCCAGGATGGTCTCGATTTCCTGACCTCATGATCTGCCCTCCTCGGCCT